TCAGTCCCTTGTATGGACTTAAATCAACCATATCCATACTGAGATAGACACGTTTAGTTTCTTGATGGAGTGCAACGCAGGCAGGTATTTTTAGGTGTTCTGGGATTTGGTCCAGTCACCTTTTGGGATTTAGTCCTCTAGTTCGGTTACCGTCCACTTTTTCAATCACTAGCGGACGTTTAAAGCTGTCCGTAGTTCTGTCAGGGAACTGACCAATCAACGCCAGTATGTGCTGCAAATAGATATTAGATAAGCGCCGACCATATTTTGAGGTATGCGTAACATACTTCGCCATCACCACATTCCTAAGGCATCAATTCTTTGCCTGTCAACGACTTTCATAGTCCACGTCTTTGCACTATACAGAATCGGATAGCTAGATAGATAGAAATATAGAGAAGGCAAGCGTTCGTATCAGATGCATTTTTGTTCCATTAATAATTTTCCTATCTCTCCAAATTTTATTCAGTGGGGTTATTGCTATTTTGGCCATGTAAATTCTCCTACGGATTTGCATACATTTTATTGGCATACTATTCACATACATAGATATGACTGGGACATTAAGTGGCAAAAGCGACAGAAAAGAAATACGCGTCAGTAATGATTGATTACGTTATCAAGTATGTCCTTTAAGAGCATACTCTATCCCTCGATGCCAGTTGTACTATTAAAGCGTTGAGAAAAGCTGTTTCTCTTTTCGTTGTTCTCAAGCGAATTGTTATATCGGGGAAGGGGCTTTGTAAGCGCGGACTTTAGAGAATTGAGTAAAACACCTCGTATAGAACTTTACTTTATAACAACAGGGGCAAATAAAGCCAACGGTCAAGTAGAAAGGGTCATGCAGATTTTAAAATGTCTGCTAACTATTATAGAAAACGATACCCATAAAACGTGGCGTGACAAACTTCCTGAGGTACAAGGGACGAAACCGCTTAGCATTCAATGGATTCACCGTGCGGGTGCCGGGTCCATCGCGTTGCAGGGAGGGGAGCTTCAGCAGTGCCTGGGACTTGCGACCCAGGTGTGGGTTTAAGGGGCCCCTTAACTAACGCGCGTTGTACGCTCACCTCCACTGTCCAAGTTCCTCTCCCTACCTGGCCAAATTTGAAAACTACTACTAATTGAACCTACTAGGGCTGAATTCGACGTACGTTCCAAGAATGAATTAATGTTGGTTCTGGACGGGCCCAAGTCTTTTGGTAGGTTGTAGAGAGATTTGGCTGTTATACCTCTCGCTCCCACCTTTACCGCGTACGAATCGGCGACGAACCTATTTCGAGTTAGTTCGTTAGTGAGCTCGTAATACTTAGTGACAACGCGCTTTGAAATACGCGAATATAGAAATGTGTCTGGTCTGGAGGCTGAACCACAAGTATCCTCGGGGATTTTGTGTTGTTTCTCATACGTATCCATCATGATAGTCTAATCCGAAGCCGCTTTAAGGATAGAGTAGGGCTTGACGTTTGATTTTGTAGCCCTGGTGCTCTCTCTCACAAAACCTATTGATCGTTCGTTTGTGGTTGTTTCCCTTTGCGCTCTGGCTACCGAAGGACTGGCCGCTTCACGTATGATCTCTAAAACCCTATAGTGACGACGCGAGAGTTGACCGCTGTCCAGGAGAACCTTACATCTCACTAGCGAATGCTTAGCAGTTCCAACTGCCTTTCCGCAGATATAGCAAGTGTTTTCGGTACCTTTACCCCATCTTACTGAATTGCTCTGGTCTGGGAGAGTCCTCTAGCACTTAATAACACAAGCCGTAGGGTTACAGGATATACTCCAACAGAACTAATGTTTGGCATACGCGCGCAATCTTTAGGGATATCATTAATAGCCCAAAATTCAGACGAGCCGAGATTAGATTTAGACAATATCCGGAATAAAACTTCCCTCAACACTGAAAACGCAGATCAAAAGGAAGTAGTTAAATTTAATAAAGGCAAAGCCCAAGTAAAACCTTCTTTTCTTTCTCGGGGAGATTACGTTTTTGTTAAGTGTAGCGAGTGTTACCAAACTAAACTACAAAGAAAGTTTAGGGGACCTTTTATCATAATTAAAATTCTAGACAACGATAGGTACGAACTGAAACATACCGATGAATCTAATTGCACTTTAAAATACTCTCATGAAAACTTGAGCGCAGTACCCAGAGGCTTTGAAGGGTTAGTTGACATATCCACTGAACTAAGTAATGAGAAGGCCGAGACGGCGGGTCATGGAGTGGAGAGAATGGAAACGAAGCTATGTCAGATGATGAAAGTGAGTAGCTGAGTAGCTCTGATGGCCTCCAACATTGATAAACCATAAATGAGTTGTGTAAGTTTGAGTTGGTGTGTTTGAGGTGGCGATGAAACTGGCTGATGCGGCCGATGTTTCTAGTAGTGATGGATCAAAGCGTGCAGGGGCTGGCTCGATGGAGTCCACGTCCGGTCGACGCTTGATCAGGTTGTGAAGATGGACGGGCTAGCTCGGTGGAGTCTATGTCCGGGTCATCGTTCACTCACATGAGTTTGGCTAGTGGAGATGGACGGGCTAGCTCGGTGGAGTCTATGTCCGGGTCATCGTTCACTCACATGAGTATAAGTAGTGGAGATGATGGGGCTAGGTCATTGGAGTCTACGTCTCGATCATTGTTCACTGATATGTGTGTGATGATGCTCTGCAGATTGGTCAGACGAAAGTTGTCGTCCGGGTCAGATCCATTTACGTTGGCTGACTTGTCCTGGAACCTCTGCAGATTGTGGTAAGACGAAAATTGTCGTCCGAGTCAGAGCCATTTACGTTGGCTGGCTTGTCCTGGTTGCTCTGCAGATTGTGGTAAGACGAATAGTGTCGTCCGGGTCAGATCCATTTACGTTGGCTGACTTGTCTTGGAACCCCTGCAGATTGTGGTAAGACGAAAATTGTCGTCCGAGTCAGAGCCATTTACGTTGGCTGGCTTGTCCTGGTTGCTCTGCAGATTGTGGTAAGACGAATAGTGTCGTCCGGGTCAGATCCATTTACGTTTTCTGACTTGTCTTGGAACCCCTGCAGATTGTGGTAAGACGAAAATTGTCGTCCGAGTCAGAGCCATTTACGTTGGCTGGCTTGTCCTGGTTGCTCTGCAGATTGTGGTAAGACGAATAGTGTCGTCCGGGTCAGATCCATTTACGTTGGCTGACTTGTCTTGGAACCCCTGCAGATTGTGGTAAGACGAATATTGTCGTCCGAGTCAGAGCCATTTACGTTGGCTGACTTGTCCTGGATGCTCTGCAGACTGTAGTAAGACGAATGGTGTCGTCTGGTTCAGATCCATTTACGTTGGCTGACTTGTTCTGGATGCTCTGCAGACGGTAGTAAGACGAATGTTGTCGTCCGGTTCAGATCCATTTACGTTGGCTGACTTGTTCTGAATATTTTGAGTATCGTGGTAAGACGAATGTTGTCGTCCGGGTCACATCCACCAAAGGACCGACCTGTCCAATAGTACCTACTAATTGTGAACAGTTAACCTACATGCTGTTAAGTGACAAGGCGTTGTCGTCCGGCTTAATTGCTACGAGATGCTCGCCTTAAGTCTTAAGTACCATAGCACATTTTGATGATTGTAACTAGTCGTTTGTCAGGATGCCGAACGGAATAGACACAACTGTAGTTCATTGATCCGAGAACCGCCCGAGGACGGTCGAATGTCAGTCCGGCCGTGACGGCGCATCCGTCAAAAATCATACGTCAGGTTGACTTTTAGCTGTCTGAGGTTAGCCTAGTGAAGCGTCATTGTGATGGTAGCGAGGGCGGCCATCTTAGTGTGGTTCGGGATGACGCCCGCGCACCGCGCTCGTGACGAATCGCTGTGTATCGAAGTGATAGTGATATCTAGTGTTTCGATTGAGTTGGTGTCGTATTGAATAGACTGTACTTTATCCCTTTCAAAGTATGAGTTCCCATGAAGGCCCTCCTGTTCTTATAACGCCCTCCTACATATAAATTTATTACTATTGTTGCAAAACTTGATATTGACGAAGTATGTAAATGAATTCTATAAGGATTTTCTGGAGTAGAATGAAGCTTGAGAATTGTACTTTTAATGTTATGAAATATAAATAATGAAAAAAGAAATTGTATGGAATATGCGTATGATGAACTCACACGAATGACATCATCATATAAGTAAATCTTTTATTCAGTAAGTGGTCTCAGGTTTAATATATGTATGTAATGATTCAACCAGGCAGATCAAGAACTTGGAACTTCATTAATTTGTCTACTAAATAAAAAAGAATGGAACATAATATTATCCACTATATTAATCGTCTGATGTTCTATCTTCATTTACACTACCTGAATAGAAGTGGGCTACCAAAACTAGTTGATATGACACGAATTTTGCTAATACTCGCATTTAAAACCAGCCTGCGAACATGGTTTTAGTGGTCCAAGCAGTATCTAAAAACTTGTTAGCTATTTATGTTCCTCCATCAAAATTAAAATTACGAGGACGCATGCGGAGAATCATTCATCTATGCATATTGTATTAGTAAAATTAATTAGTTTTTAAACTAGTCTAATTCATAAAAAGCTTCAAATATTACTAAGAAAACGGTTACAACAACAACGTAAATAAAATTAAAATGAAATAAGTGTTGTTGACGTAACTCTATCTTAAGAAAGGCGGATGAAATATGATAACTTGGGGTAGCTGTGACTTATTTCGTAATAAAATACAAACGTATTAGTAGTATTTATGTTTAAAGTAAATAAACATATTAAATATAATTTAGAAAAATATTGAAGTTTTAAAAATCATTAGTCAGTAAACAGAAATAATAATATGAAATGAATCATATACCTGATAATGGTATGCTCAATGCGTCCTGGCACCCATTAACAAATGCCCCATACAAAATGATAAGAATTCCCTATTGTTAGTACAACACAAACACTCGAATGAATAATACGTTCCCGTAACCATCGCGTTTAGAATCCTTTTACAGTAATAGTGAAGTTTATTCTTTTCTATGATGCGTGTTTTAAGTTTTTTGTTTCTAGTTTTCTTTTTGATAAGTACCGTTTATAGTAGAATCGTCGATAAAAGGAAATGTCCTGAAGTAAGAGCGGTGCCGCATTTTGATTTATCTCAGGTAATATTTTTTGAAATTTATATTTAAATACATTACGTAGTTATTATATTATTATTGAAATTACCAAAATGGGGACTTTCTTGCAAAAAATAATAACATCATTGAATTTATGCAAAGCTATCGTCCATTCTCTAGGATCTAAACAGCGTTGAATACAAAATAAGAGAAATACTGATATCACATTTTTTCTCCAATATTTTTTAAGAACTTTCTATCTCAAGAAATAAGATTCATGAGTCAAAAATTGTTATAAAATTTTACAGAAATAATAAGACAATATCTGTACAAAACAAAACAAGTTATTTATATACTTAATACAAATTTTACATGTGTCAATAACTGAAATAAACTCAAAAAGATATTCGAGCAATTATAACATTAAAGATGAAAACTATTGGCACAAAAAAAAAAAATCTGCCCGAAAAATATACATCAATTAATGTGAAAAGACACATATTTTTATAAAGATACATATTTAATTAGATGGAGATATATCAAAATAGACTGTGGGTGGCGGAAGCAAGTTTGATAAAACATCGTGTAAAACATGTTACAGTCGTTCAAATGAAGTGCTTTATGATACAATAATAATATTAATATGAATATATAGAACTCTGAATATATTGTTTCATACAATTACATATTATTAACGCATCAACAAATTGACGAATAGATACATATACAAACTTTATGTTCGAAATAAATTGGAAAAAAGATATTTACAGTTAATGAGCAAGGTTTTCTAAATGATACTATAAAAAGGAATAGTCGTTGATGCCTAATGGATGAGTAACCCCGATTTTTATGTAAAACATATAAAATAAATGAGATGGTTAAATAATTAGTCAACTTCGTCCTATCCTACTTTCTGTTGAACTGAAAGAAGCAATATATTTAAATCTTAAATATCTTAGAATGATATATGCCTAAAACAGGCAGTTTCTCTTTGATTCTTGATTGGCAAAAATTAAAAATTTCAGTATCTTAATTATATTAAAATTGGTCAGTCTAATAGACTGAATTCATCAATTACTTAAAACGTTTCCTTTTTAATTAAAATAAACCTTTTTTTTTTTAAAGAAATCTAGTAATTATTTCGTGGGGAAAATACGGAAGTTCTGTCAATAACTGCGATTGAACCAAGGTGTCGAATCCATAAATTTTCATATAATTGTCGTAATACTAATAATTACAAAGGTAACTAGTGAAAAGTATTTGATACGAGATTCAAAATCTGTTTGTTTGTCTTCACTAGTATTCAAATATGTTACATCACCTTATGAATTGACTATCAGATTTTATAGAGCTACGAACAAGGAAACTTTTGCGATCTAATGTTACAGATATGGTAATTTTAATGTGTCAAGACAGAAACCCCAGATGTCATTGACGTTAGTCAACAAAACAATAACATTACTTTTATTAAACCAATTGATCTCGTTAAAATTTCGTCTCTCCCTCATTAAGAATCATCTGTGTACTCGACTTACACTTCACTAAATAAACAAACATATATTTACATAATTTACAAAATATTAATCTTATCTAAACAAAGAATCAAATAAAACTTTGTTGTATGAAATAGCAACTTTAAGTGCAGTGTATAAGATATCCAAAATATAAATATTACATTTATAACAATTTTTGTCTATCTGTCTATTCGTTCCGGCTAATCTGTGAAACCACTGGATTGATTATAACTGGCATTTCACTGACATACAGCAAATTAAATAAGAAATAACTTAAGCTGTCGGTTTTTAATATAAGTAAATGAAAGTAAAGATTTCATTTACTTATATTAATATGACAAAAAATAACCAATCCTCGCGGCCCAAGTCGGGTTGAGAGCTAGTACATATAAAAAGATAAAACTCTTATAACAGTGACAAACAAACACAAATGATGAGAATCTATAACATATTAATTTGTCGTTTTAAAATCTGAATGACAAGATAAATTTATGATTGTATTTTTTATTCGTCTCCAAAACTAAATAATTTATATTTATAGAGCAATAAAAGAAGTTGTTAATCTAGATTGGTTTGAAAAATATAACAGTCCAGGTTTTACTAATTGCTAAACCAGATTGTTAGGTATCAGCTGTAGGATATATTATTTATCACCCACTTATAATAATCGAGTTTTCAGACAAATTATTTCTATATTCACTATTTATTAAACGTAGTGGTGATTAGTTCACAAATATTATAAAACATTAATTAATTGCTTATTATATTTGTTAAATATTTATACCTCATTAATTTTATTTTATTAATAATAATTAATTATCTTCTATTCAATAGTTAATGTTTTATTAAGAGTATATGACGTGAGGATCACATTACCACTTAAAATGTGAAAGTTTGTGTTTACGTCGTGTTTGTTACTACTTAACACCGAAATGCCTAGAGTCGATTGGGTGAAATTCGGTATATAAATAGATTTACCTCAATATCATATAGGACATATATCTTGTACAGTTCCTGATTAAGCCATGACTGGCCCATGGATACAAGATGAAATATTAAAAGCTACGAAATGTTTTAACTAAATCTATTACTTTTGTCGTTCACAGGATTCTCTTAGTAAGATATATCATTTTTCATCTCTTCAATACTTAAAAAAATATATACGAATTTGTCAAAATTTTCGTGATATTATGTACAAGAAAGATGAAAGTATACGGCTAAATATATATCAAATGAATATTATTAAAATATTAACTATATGCTTATTTTATTCACGAATTTTTACTTATTACTTAAAAAAACAATTTTTATGTAAATAATTGTATATCAAATACGATTATAATAAATTCAAACTTTCTTATTATCTAACTTTTGTGGCCATTAATGTCTAAACAGCATATTATATTTTACAGAAGAGTTAAAATTGATATTATAAATAAATAAACGCTATGTAAATGTCTTTGTAAATTATTAATTACTTGACTATATAAACATAAAATTTGAATAATTGTATGGACTGTGTGATGATTTATGAATAATAACTGAAACTCTTTTCAATGTATTTATGATAAACTTGTGGTAATAAGAGGGGACATAGGTGTAATTTGGTTTTATATAATTGTTACTAGCATTTATTAAAGTTATAATATTGTTATCAATTACCATTTACAGAAATTCCATTAAGTACAACGTAGAATCATTTACTTTGAACAAAAATGTTCATGAACCTAAAAGTAAAAACCAATTCGTCCATTTGTTGCAATTCAAGAACTTCTTTGTACAAGATGTTTGTAAAGAGATGGTTATTTCTCATTAAAGTATCATTTAGTACTTTTGTATGATTTTGAAGTTATTATGGAATCGATTATTATATAATGAATCCAATGAAAAAAACATGGGTAAGATTGAGCATTCACTTATTAGAAAATACTTTAATGAACCAAAGGATAATTTAATTTAAATAAATTATTCATATCAAGAAGAGATAGTCGACAACCATAATTCAAATTACGCAATCGTTTGATTCATATAATCAACATAATCCTTTTAGTAGAAAGTGAATTGTTACTTATGATTGATCAGTCAGCTTTAAAACGAAGCCATAAAGACAAAAATCGCTTACAAATTCTTCAAGTAATATACGGTTGTATAATGTATGCAAATCATAAAATTGAGAGATCAGCTTATGGCACCTGAGCGTACTTTGTATTGTTACAAGTTGCATTTAAAATAATGACCGGTTTTGAAACGGCTCCTACAAATCTTGCGCTCTCACTCTTATTGTTTGATGATTCTGATTGACCGGCATAAGATATTGAATTGAAATTCAGTCATTGACAAATGGAAAAAGTTTTATAATTGATTCTTTTTGTTAGTTAAATAAATATTGGTGCTGTATAATAAAAAATATAGTAACTGTAAGTTATATATTGTTTACCTTCGCTCTGAGAAAAATGACTGCTTATAGTATTGTTAGCACTTAAATAATATATTTAGTGAGATGTAGAATTATCGCGAGTATTTATTTAAATATAAATAAAAAAACTAATATTTTCCGATTTATTTTTATTTCAATATATGTATTTAATTGAGGTAATACTAATATATTTTTTTATGTTAAATAACATTTAATATCCTTTCAATGGGTTATTTGAAATAATAGTGAACTTGTACCATTTGTTTAGTTGTGGAAATCTTATATATCATTATAAATAGAGTTCTAGAGTCTTATATCGTTCTAGTGTATTGTGGTGATGTCTTTAATTAATTAAATAGCTATTGATAAATATTTACAAATTAAATTAAAACGAATCCAAATTTCGTAAGAAAATCAGAGGAACAGAGATAAAGCTATTACTTTTCCAAAGGCGCTATTTTATATTGTAACCCTGTAGTGTATAATGTTTACATATTGAATTGATCGTTGTTTTTTCCTGTTTTAAAGATGCTGGGTGATTGGTTTGTAGTGGAGTACTACGCCAGTGCTGAAGAAGCACTTTCCTATAGTTGTATGAGAGCCGTTTTCACAGAGGACGACCATGTTCAGGCAGAAGGTAGAAAATGCATATTGTATATTTATAATATAAGCTATTAAAAACACTAAGTTTATTTAAATGTACGAAGAAATCGTTTATATCACTATGTATTATTTATACACAAATAATATAAATAAAAGTTTTAAATGTAGTTTTTAGACTGATTATTACAATATTTTTGTCTTTACAAAACCTGGTAAAAAAATACATTTTTAGTGGAGATATTCATTGCCCTTGGGTGTCTCATGTTAAGAAAAATAAGTAACTTACACGTAACAAGCGTGATGGTCGATTTACAAATTTGTATACATATAAACAGTTTAGTTCCACTGAGACATAAAAAGCGAATTACCTAATTATGTATGTATATTAAAAACATTATAATAAGGTTACATTTACCTTGTATATGTTACTTATTTGCACTTTATATTGTTTTTATATATTTAGTTAATTTTATTACTCTATTTTGTCATACCTGTATCATTATATTATAAGTTTGATGTCTTTTTTTGTTTATTGTTTAATACACTAAGTACAAAATATAAATGTATTGAGATGTCAATGTAATTGTGTGTTAACGACGATGAATTCCAGTGTACGGAAAAACCAATACTGGTTTATGAGACACTGAAAACTTAGATATAAATGTAAAAATACCAACATAATTGTAATAAATAAATAAATAAATAAATAATCATGAATTAAGTGAATCATTATATACATATGTATATAGTCATAACATTACTAGTAAAATTTAATTTTTACGTATTATTTGAACTAATTTGCTTAAAATCCAAAAATATCCTTTATCAAATTTATATCAGATATTATATATATGTGTATATATATATATATATATATATATATATATATATATATATATATATATATATATATATATATATATATCAGAGTTATAATCCAACTGCGATTGTTTTGTGTAGAATATTATAAAAAATACTACATTTAAACATTCTATGAACAGATAAAAAAATGATTAATTCTATTGAAAGTTATCAAATCAAAAGGAACTCGAACCAAACAGTATCTGAGTAAAACGTTTAACAATATAATTATGTTAATGTTGTATAGGTAAAATTTTACGTTACGTATCTGTTAATAAAACAATTTTCATTACGCAAGAGGTTGCATGTGAATCTATCATTACAGATTTACATGGAAACATGCAAATACAGCGTAACCATTATTACCTGTAACACTTCCTTCATAATGCTAATCATTTTGAAGGTATTATTGAAAAATATATTTTGCAGACGGGTCAATAGAATGGACGCCTGGAGTGACAATGAATTTCACATACCGTTTCGCTGACGATCCAATAGGAGAAAATCTTTTGGGGAACATCACTTGGAAAGTTGATCTCAACGAGCCAGCTCATTGGACGCATTCTGAAATTACTTGTAAGTTTTTTAACTAGAACTATACCTCAAAGTCTTCTTTAGTTTTTCTTAACATAGTTATTATGTATGAAATTAAATCAAACCAGAAAGTTGGTGATTATTGTGTACTATAAATTATCGAAAACTATATCAAGAATATAATACCGAAATATTAGTTTAGGTACGAAATCAAACTAAAAAGATTATGTCCTGAGCTAAGATTATAATTTAATATTAACCAAAACCCAGATTCACTAAATATACATATTTCACATTTTTCTCATAATTCTTAAATTATATCAGTTGAAAATTAATATAAAATTAATAACATTGTATTAACAATGTCTAATTCGTCGACGTTTGTGTAAAACATTATTTCCGATATCAATTAGTAAGTACTGATCAATATAATAATTAAAATACATATAAGGCGTGTACGATTCGTTTTAATTTAGGGATATTTGCCTGTTTTAGATTCCTGATGATTACATAACTTAAGCTAGTAATATAACCTTGTAACTGAAAGTCGAGATAAAGAGGATATTCATAAATGATAGAAATCGCACATAATAATTTTTGCTGTATTTTATTTGTTAATCGTGGCGCACCTATGGATCAATAGCTATGTGTGTATAAGTTATAAATCTATTTCTTTAACTGTATATATATGATTCAAGTTGAGAGATAGGTAGCTTTAGATAATAGTTGAAATCTTATACATACTTAAGAAGCACAACATATTTTCTATATTGACTTAATTATCTCAAGTAGTCCCACAACTTATTAACTAGATTTTAATCCGTAATAAACCAAAGTAAATAGTCGGTATCTACATAAATTACTATTCTTTGTCTATCATATGTAGCAACATTTGGTCTTCATACAAAAAATATTGCGATGTCTTCATTTAGTATAAGGTTATTGGTTTTAGTAAATCAAGAATTTTATAAACAATATGTTAACAATATGTTAATGTGCATTTAATAGAAGCGAAAATGCATTTATAAGTTAATTAATGAATAAGAGAATATATTTTTGACAGTTAATCTAAGGTGAATCACTTTACATAATTACTTTATTTCTTTTTATTTATCTTTTTGATATTATATTAGAAACTCGTTAATTCATTGAATCATATATTTTATTTAAAAAATCCTCTAAAATATTAATGATATATTATTTACAGATGATGGCATTTACAATACATATGTACTGGATACAGAGTATAAGACTTGGATGCTGTTACTTCATTGCGCCGAACAAAGAGAGGGCGCTAGATATCTCAGTGCATTTGTACTATCCAGAAAAACGACACTACCAAAGAATGTGATGGCATATCTGAGAGACAAGTTGCCAAGGTACGGTCCAAGTATATTCAAAGTGACTTTGAGTTATTCACAAGTTATAGATATAGGGCTTTGTTATTTTTATTTAATGAGCTATACCTGTACATCAGTCACTAAAAAAAAAAATTATAATGAGGAATTTTGAAAGCTGAGACAACCGAAAAGGATGGGTGAAGTTTAAATGGTTTTATGATTAATGAACGCGACTATTCTGGGAATTGCCTAATTTTAAATCAGTCATCAGAATTGTTAAATAAAACTAATGTATAAAATGAAAACTGTAAATTGAACCTTTTCGCTCCAAGCCTTGGCCATTATGCATTCTCTGGTTAGATTGTAAACAAAGAGCTTATATGGCATTACGCCAAATTTCATATAGTGACATTCCCTTCATTCGTGCATGTAGCAAAGGAAAAATAAAATACAAAGGTATCATTTAAATTTGAGTTATTTTTTTCACTGCTACAGCTAGTTGGGTTTTATGCTGTTTATTCTACTAGAAAATAAAAGATAATGTCCTTATAAGTCACAATTTATTTTCGTTCTGTACTAACTGACCATAAATAAATACATAGTTGTCAAACCACCAATTCTTTTTATCCTTGTTTTTCTTTGTAACGAAGTGTTTTCTTTTGTAGATATGATGTTGACATCAAGTACGTATTTCCAATCCCTCATGACGACTGTTCTGACAAACCAGCTAAATCTGACTTCTCTCCCATTCTCGTCGAAGTCGGAAGCAAGACACCCAAACGCCCTGGAGTCAGTTACAACGTTGCTTTTGGTCATTGATTTAAATAAATGTGTTTTTTATATAATTAATTGTATGATTTATATCAATAAATTGAGGTGATTAATATAAAAGTCTTATATTATTGTGTTCTTATCGCTATGTTGAGATATCAAAATCCTTTTTTGTCTATCAAGATCTTTCACAGAAATGCGATTCCATGAAATTCAAATAATAGCATTTTTTAACCAATGCAAAAGAAAAAACTCATGATTGAAGAAAATACCTATATAAAAATGTATTATTTAATCATTATTTCTTTTTCAATTTTAAACTTATTAATAATCTGATAACTTACCATAATATATCAGAACGACAAAGTTATTTTTCACTCTCAAAATTTAACATCAAAATCTATTCTTTACTGGAATATTCGACAATTCCTATAGTTACCTGATAACTTAATAAATCAAATTGAGAGGAAATACCTAGGTATGTGCTACTCATATTAAAGCCTCATCTGCGTTTTTCTGTAATTTTCAAACTTGTCTGTCATACCAACTTTAACAATTAGGTTTTTGAACAAAAAAAATGAATGGAAAATTAATGGAAAGATCATATATAAGTTTTACAACAAAACTATTGTTCGTTTTTTCGGTATAATTAAAAAGTTACATCAAATTAAAAATAATATTTTGGATCCAGTTCCGAAAATACGCCGACACTTCCCGAGCAAACCCGAGCGCGTTTGACCTAACAATATTAATTTCTCCTCACTGTAGCATACAGCTGATACACTGATAGAAGCTGTTGACACTATACTATCTAAAAATTCTTTTAACATTATGACGTAATAAGCATGGTGACTATGTAATTGTAGCGCGATCTTAGTCATGTGGTTATTTCATTAATATTACCAATTTTTAATTAATATATTTTACATCAATTATAAATATAATATATTTTTAAAGTTTTGAAATAAATAAAAAAATCGATAAATATTTTTTCAACACCCCAATTGTAACCAAAAATGCCTTACATCATTTTGGAAAAGAGCTGGCACTATTATACAGCTGCATCGAAAATAATACAACACACAAGCAGTTAAGAACCACTGCAAGAAAACTGGCTTTCAAATGAAAAAAACAGCATCGAAATTGGTCGATCCGTTGAGAGCCATGTGCCATGTCATACATATGGCCGTCAAAATTATAACACCTATTCTTGCTTCCAGGGTTAAAAAAGGAACAGTGAATAAAAACGTGACAAAATATATTTCACTTACCTACCAATTGAGCCATGTTGATTTAAACTCGAAAAAATAATTATTATTTTATTTCATTAAACAACTAAATCAACATTCATTATAAGTAAATATTGCAATAAGTTCGTTTCATAATCAAAGTGCTCACTTCAGCTATGTAAGTTATATTAAATAGGTCGAGTGTTAAATGAGCGTAATAAAAACAAATATAAAGAAAATACTCATTTAATGCTTTATCTAACGGAGCGAGTCGCAGACTTATCTTCATCGATATTCATAATATTATTTCAACATCATTCATTGTTCATACAACCGAGGGTACATATTGTTAACAATACAATTATTATTCTTAATACGTACGTCTGTATCAAACACAATAAGTAGGCGCGCACATCTGTAAACACGTAGCGATGACATTCAAACTTGACCGTGTCTAAAACTACAATATCCGAAGTAAATTAACGAAAATCTAAAAGAAGAACAGTAATTGTAATATGAAATAGAATTTTCACAACTTCATGAAGGTTGTGCCATAGATTAGAGAATTGAAGATGTTTCACTTTCATTATACAATTGTTTTTATTTCATTCATTCGTTTGCAGTAACCTATCGCATTTAAACATGATGTGCCTATCTTAAACATTAATTCTACTAATACTAATTTTAAGCATATTTGCATTGTTTTAATTTTTCTCTCTTACTTTCTCTTATTTTGTCCTTATTAAAAATTCCAGAACTTGATAAGTATTTACTTAATACTGATTATTATATCAGTCTTGAAAACTTGTATTGATTTTCCCTAAAAATATCACAAAGTAATAATTGAATATATCATTATATTTCAGAATAGATAAGTTATTTAAAGTGATAAATATATTTCGGACACAAAAACATTCCTTAAACAAATCATTAAAAAAAAAATCTTTATATTTTTAACTTGTTTAACATGTTTTAAACATGTTAAACAAGATATTAACAATCAATTATTCTTATACATTGTATTTTAAAACATAAGTATAAAGTAATATGTATAAAGATGGCTAAATACAATATTTGACTTATCTATGCTGTGTATATATTCTTCAGTACATAGCACGTATTAATATTTCAGACAACTTGCGCAAAAGTATAGTTGGCTTGTGTAAGGTACTGAAGTGGTGTTTTTTTTCATAAAAAATCCAAATCATGGGTTCTGTTACTTTTTATGTGCTCTTATTTGTTTCCCTGGTGCAGTTTCAAATTATACTATGCAAGGTTAGTTATTATGACTTATTAAATATAAAACAAGATAAATTTATAGTTTCTAGACGAGACGTGTTCCGCGTTCGGCTTATGGTGATGATCGGTTTGTACACCGAAAAATTGGTAATAAAATAGACACTGTCTTAATTTAAAATTATCTTATTTAAATAAAATATGATCCTTAGGTATTTCAGTTATTTTTTAGAAGTGACGTAACAAACACACATTTTATCAATCAAATTAATAATTTTTAATAATCAGAACACTTAAATATACTTTCATTGAAATTAATCGCATAATTCAACAGGTATATAACATTTAGTTGGTATATTGTAGACAAAATATGAATGGTCATATTCCTGTGTGCACAAATTTGTCACATCTCTAGTTTCCAGCAATATAATTTTTATGTCAATATAAATTAAATTCAAATATAATTAAAAAGACATGTCACATCATGCAATCTGTTCTGCTGCAATGATCTGAAATATTAATTAATAGCTAGTCAGTAATAATGTCAAATAATTTATGAAAAAAAGATTATCTAAATCAAATTAATATATTATTCCAGCCATTTCTGTTCGACTTTCTATGCGACTTAGTTTGTGATGACGATGACAATAGCACCGTCAGAAATTCAAGCGATGATTACTTTGGATTTGATGATATGTGTTCCTGTGGGCCTCCGACGCCAGCTAACGGAGGAAATAAAGGAAAACCACCCAATGTTGATTTAAATTTACGTAAGTATATATTTTACATACATATATTTTCAACAGTCTTTCAACATTTTGAACGTTCCAAATACTTTTTAATGTCGTTGTTTAGGGTTGCACATGAATTATATTATTTTGAATTATGAAATTATTTATAAAATAATCGTTTTATTCTACAAGTATTTCTTATAAGGCATTTCTATATTTACTAACAATAACAGCTTTACCGTTACAAATGTTTCTATTCTTACATCTGGTGTAAAATAAATTATTCATGATGGAAAAACCAAACATCGTGTTGTCATGTCATGTCAAGAACAAAGATGACATACAAGTGCATTTTACCCAAAATTTCAGTACAAAAGTTTCAGAATAATATTACTAAGCACAAGGAAACGAATCTTAATTCTTATTATGTATAATTTATTTACGGATTATTTTTTTAAAATTAAATACTTTATAGCTTTCTTGTCAAAGTTTCTTAAGAAGTTTTATATATTCTAATTAAAGAGTCTTGAATTCGCCTTTGCATATTAAAAGAACTGCTTTTATTTCATCTACGGCGCCATTCTCTCTGAATTTGTGGAAGATTTTGTATATCAATGTATGATTTATTGGATCGAATTTATGATATACTGTTCTTTTAATGAACCTTTAGCTGTACATTTAGCTATAATTTTGATTAGCACCTGGAACAACAACAACAAACAAAATATTGGACAGGAGTATAATATTTTAAATTTCATTGTTTTTTTAGCAATTTGGATTTGATCCAAAATGGATTTCTTTTATTGTCTGTCGAGGACAGTTTTTTGAAATAAAAGAGTATATAAAAAACAGAGATTCTGATTGTGTTTTTTTTTTGAAAATAATGTAATGCAATATGTCGATAATTCAGATTAAGATGACGAGATTTTATCTTGAAGAATATGCGTATATTTTTGTACAAAGCATACTACTGCAATATGTTCAATTTTAGTTTATATATTATACTGCAATATGTTAAATTTTTTTCAAACTCGGAAAAATCACATTGGTACTTGCTACGATTGAACCCGCGCCCTCATGCACGAGAGGCAAGCCTTTACCTAACTACTTGACCACTGACTATAAATAAATATTGAGGGCTAGAAAAAACATTGCCATCGACTGTGGAAAATAGTCTAATGCGTACTAATCAGATTTTAGAATTTTAAAAGTTCACATAAATACACACATACATACATAAATTAATTCCCTCACTTTCGGCATCTAATAAAAAAAATCTACCCATTTTTTTTCGTGTTCTTAATTTTTACAGAGTTTGTTACAAAATGTTTAAGAGTTTTGTTATATTTTATTGAATTGTAAATCAATTTTCGAGCTTTTCTTAGATTAGTGTTATTTAGGATAAATAGAAAAACTTTTTCGTCATATGTATTTCAATGCTAATAATTTATAATGCAAAGTATAAGCACGTATACGGTGAATTTTGTCATTTTCATTGAAATAAATCAACATGATTTTTAGTCTTTATCACAGATTGTTAACAAATAGTTTGTTGTTTTTGTTGATTTCCCACGCTCCATAAATTGATATTTTTTTTTTTTTTTTTTCAGCTGGAATTAGTCTTCAAATGTCCAATACTAATGGACAATGGTCACTTAATGTGAATGCAAATCCTTCTACTCCAGCCAATTCGGTCATTCCATTACCTTCTGGAGGGTCAACTCCTGCACTCCCAGGACCTGGTATTACTGGCTTTCCTGGATCTGGAATGCCTGGCTTTCCGGGAGTTCCTGGAAATCCTGGCTTTCCTGGAGCTCCTGGCTTTCCTGGAGCTCCTGGCTTTCCTGGAGCTCCTGGAGTACCTGGAGTTTCTGGAATTCCCTCAGGTGTTCCAACTCCAGCAAGTGCTTCAACAGCCGCAGCTACTACTGCAGCACCAGCTTCTGGAGCACCAGCGTAAATAAGTTTTTAAATGTATTATTTATATTATAAAATCATCAAATTAAATGTTAGGTAGATGTACTCGTATATTAAATTTATTTAACTTCTATTTGACTTTTATTAAAATTGCCCTTTTAATATATCCCTACTGATATTATAAATTGGAAAGTTTTTGAGGATATATGGATGATAAAGATAATGAAAACTTCTCAGTATTCCATAGCAGCACAGTCACCTCCACTATCCAACCTCTTTTCTCTATCTATCCAAATATAAAACGAATTTATTATTATTGCTGCCTTCGACGTACGTTCTAAGAATTAATTGAATTTAGCTCTAGACAGGCTAAAATCTTCTAGTAAATTGTAGAGCGATTTGACTGTTATATGTCTCGCTCCCACTTCTACCGCGTACAAAATTTACGACGAACATATTCCTAGTCAATTTGTTAGTGAGCTCGTTATACTTAATGACCTTGATTTGCATGGTATTTGGGGATGTTGATTTCCTAAGGAACCGTAAGCTCTATTAAAAAATTGTGCCTTAAATATCGCAAATACATAAATATGTCTGGTGTGCACGCCATTATGGTGATCAACTATAGTGCTATTGGGATGCCAAAATCTCCTATGTCCAACCACTCGTTCTGCATTTCTAAACTCATTGTTTGGAATTTATATTTAGCATTCTTTTCTTACCCAGTAAAATATCCATTCTCGGACTTTAAAATCTCGGGCCTTTTTACTGCATCCCAAGTTTGTGCTTCTATCATAAACTGTTAGTGAAATCGAAGTCTTGACTCTTAGACATCTTTATCTTTGAGGAGTGATATAACGGATGTTCATGGGATTTTCCCTGGATATGTTTCTTGTATACTCTTAGTTGGTTATAGAGTTCTGATGGCCTTTTAGACTCATCCCAGAACAATTGCTATCAATGAGTAAAGCTGACGCATCAGCAGACAATACAAGATCGAGCTACAATTTCAAACATCTAAATAACGCTTCGGTACATCTAACTTTGACAAAAGGATTTTATTAAAGTCGTAGACGAGAAAAGGCCAATTTAATCGTGATATTATTTAGTTATTGTAGCTTTTTTAACGTTACTGTTGTGACTTTTGACGTGACTGTTGTTTATCTACCTTGTTAAGAGCGTTAAAAAAGCTATCTTCTTAGGATGCAGCACGACCTATATTATATATTTTACGACCCAGCATTTTAATGGACCATTTTAATTACCTGTAGAAATGAATTGACTGCCTGAAGATCGTGTCGTATGATATTGTTAGTTTTCACGTAACAACTACTTAAAGGATTATGATGAAATATTGTAGTGACATAGCTGAAACATCAGAATAATACAATTTAATAGGTATTCAAAACTTTCTAACAGTCTGTAGGGAACGAAACTTTAAAGTTGAATTTTATAAGTCACCTTTACTTACAGATGGTACAGCCAGCAGCTTAACATTTTTATTTCATATAATTACGTAAGCAAACCTTAATAATTACTGTCTTAATGCAATTTCACAGTATAAATTTAATATTATTTTTTGTATGAAAATGAAATCCTGGGGAAATATATTCTGATTGTGTAAGGAATCTAGTTGCTGCTATTGGGGGCGAGTAGAAGTATGAAATAGGCACGATGTCAAACAATTGTTCAGAATATTTCCCCTTGTACAATAGAATAAATATATAAATATAGCCCCTACCGCAGGAGTTCTAAGGTTCTTAATCGTTTGTCTGTTCTACTCTTATAATTATGCATTCAAAAATTTTATATTTGGTGCTGGTTAAATATACCTACCTTTAATGTTAGTTCTTAGAAAGTAGAATCACACGTAACTTATTTTCCTTTACTTTTGGTATTATTATTATGATCTGATCAATGTTTAATAATTCGAGAAAATCCTAAGCGACTTGAAACCTATAAACCCAAAACAGATCAAAATTATTCTGTTTGATTTAGGGTTATACATATACATATGTATATCTCATGATAATAAACACTCGCATTTTAATAATAAAATACGAGTTTTAATGATAAAATACGAGTGTTTATTACCTAATAAGTTAGTTCTATTTATAAATTTACACTAACTCCAGTATAATCAAAAGTTAAACTATTTATTGAGATGTAACTATATGCCAAACTAAATAATTTGACCAATCCGGGTGAATAACTGTATAAAAAAAAAAATGAAACAGGATAGTGTTTCGAAATTTCCTGAGTTTCTTGATTAATGACTTTACTATTATCATGAGGAAGTTTAAAATTTTATTGAACAACGGAAATAGTTAATAGAAAATAGTTATGATAGAAACAACTCACAAATGTTTTAAATTACTTTAACTTTGTAGAAATCTCAACTCTATTATATTTATACTTAAAGGTGAAGTTAATTTAATATCTAATACACGCAAAGCCCCGAAACCGAATTGAAAATACTTCAACGGCCTCTGAAGCATATCGAAATAAATAAATAATAAAATAAATATTTTGTTAATTAAGTTTAGTAAAATAAAATAATTTGTTATATAACAAAACTACATCAGATAGTCGCGTAAAAGTTTTTAGTCAAGCAAACAGTTTTATATGTTACTAAATATACAAGTACAAATATTTTATTGTTTTGCTAATTAGTATCTGAAAGTTATTCATTTAATAAAATATTATGAAGAATAAAACTAAAAAAATTCTAATTTAATTTGAAGAATAAATCATAAAATAGTATCATTAAATCATGAATTTAATGTCGGACATTTAATGACACAAGTTCCTTATTATAACATAATATAATAAATAATTGCAAATAAATTGAATCCATGTCAAAACACTTGCACTACAGAAGCCAGTACTGTATCAATATACTATTGATTTATTATACTAAGATGTAATGAATCACGTTCTTAAGTGCTCCTTCTACTTTTTTCATTCCAATGTTTCGTATAACTTACTATTAACATTGCTAATATATCTTTCAGTTTATTTATACTGTCATTCTAAATCCGGAGGATTTTATATAAAAAATACATCTCGAAGAGAACGAATATTCACAAAAGCATACGTGTTATATCATAGACAAGATAAGTTGGTTTTAATTTTCTAAATAAGACCTGAACAACTGGCTGATGTATTGCTTAAGTCTCATAAAGGGACTTCAATAATAGGTAACTGATATAATATATAAAAATATTGGCTTAACTCGGTTCAAATATTTTATAACTTCTTACAATATTGGTTGAAAACAATGCTTCTTAACGCAAAGAACGCCTTTTTTGGGTACGGACATTCGGGATTCCTTTATATCATGAAATAAATTTCGTCGCTGTGACGATAAATTAAGCTATTAATAGCCATTTTTAAATATAATTTTAATGTATGTATAATTAAAATATTTTACTAAGACTTTTCCATATTAATGCGATTTCTGTCTGTCTGAATAATCTGGTGAACTAAAAGATTGTCAATATAAAATACATATTAAAAATGAAATTTATGTAATGTACATTTAGATTTTCAGTACGTCCACTAATATAAAAACTAAGAAAAAGGAAAAATAGACTGATGTACATAATTCATTTGAAATTTAATATTTTAAAAAAGATTGAGTAATTTCAATCAAAAACAGACGAAGCAATTGGAAAAAAATAACTAGTATAAATAAATTAATAAAAACAATGGTAATATGAATAAAGTTTTATGTTAATTTATGTCAATATTTAAATTATGGAATGATATCAAAACTATGAATATGATAATAAATAAAAAGAAAAAATGAGGTGATCTAAATTAGTTCCTATGTCGTTAAAACTAAAGTCGTAATTCATTTAATTTCATTCCAACTTATACGGAGTAAACGTGCCAAATTAATTTTATCAAGATTTCAACCAATCAAATCAGAACAATCCGTCTCATTAGCTTCTTCTTCAATAAAAAAAACCTGGTGAGATATATCGCAGGACCAACGACCGCTTGATGAGTCTGCCAAGGATTGCCCTTAGAAGTCAATTACAGTTCCTGGATTTGATCCTTTATTTTATACTAGCCGTGACTTCGTATGCGGAATGTTCAGAATAACTTTGTATTTTAAATAGATTTTAACTTTTTGTTTAGGGACTTTTTGAAATTGTACAACGTAATAAAAAGTAAAGCTTAGTAATGGTTGAGGTGAAAACTGCTCTCATGTTGGTCCTAAATGTTTCTAAGTTTCATAGTTACAAGCGTATATTAAAATGGAATCGAATTCTATCAATTATATTTTGAGTTCCTTCACGTGAATAAAGTCCCTAAATATTTATTATTTTTTAATAATATATACAAATGATGCTGACGTCATTTCTATTGAATGAATTCGAAAGTATAAGGCAACTGAAAACTGAATTAGTGGGTCAAAATGTTTGAAATATAAATTACTATTCACTAATTAGTAATGTTCATCTATGAAAGCATTGTTAAGATTCGATATCCAGAGCAGTCGAAGCAAGCATCGCTTCACCAACAGGAAGACAACGTTCATTTTTTAATTAGGAAACCGGCTTGGTAGCAACCTTCCGCCATCGCCGTGCAGGAAAGCAGGCAAGGAGTATTAATGAAGTAGGGACACGGTGCTTGCAATGCGTACGCGCCAGTTGGACCGCGTATTTGATACAACGTGAACGTCCAATGTGTTTATAGTACAGTTCAATGACTTGATCGAGATGATATAGTTATGTTCTGAATGTTTTCTCATAATTCCGTTTGGCCTGAGGTGATTATTTTTTTTATATATATAATTTATCTCTTTAGATATTATGACGCTTATGTATTTAAATTGACAGTAAATTTTTATTTTAATTTTATTACATAATTACTTAATATTTTATATATGTAAAAAATATATAGGAAGTACAAGTAATTATGTGTCATAAAATTTAATTATTTAAAATCAGTCAATAATTAGTATTGCTATTATAGACCATTTATATACGAAACAAAAAAACAAGATGAATTTTTTTTGCGACAACCAATAAAATTTTAAGATCGCAATTACCGATTCCCGAAATAAAAATTCTTAGTCGGCATCGAAACTCACAGAATATATGAAGTTGTATTTTATGATCAATTTGGTGCTTTGTAACTATTAACAAGACTGACATGTATTTTCAGATGTTCTAATAGATAAATCGTAATAATAGACAAATATTAAGATGTGGATGTTAAAAACTAGTGTGATAATCCTGGCTGTAGTGGTGTCAGCATCAGCCAAATCAAAGAGGTTCACTAGACTGCAGAGTGATCCCTTGACAACAACGAGATGTGACCTTATATGTTTTGATGCGAGCAAAGAAACTAAATCTCAGGTGCGTCTATTTGAATAAATCTATTTCTATTTTATAATAAAACCGTCTTCTGCACCAGCCTTTTCATTTTCCATAAATTTATTGCACTTTATTTATTAGCTCCTATAAGATTTGTTGTTCGTGTTAGACATTAAATGTTATAAGCCGTTTTTATGTCCGTTTTATCTAAGCGGTGAAATTGTAAACAATAAAACTACGTGCCTAGGAAAGCAAACTTCATAGCAAGTCGTGAATCAAAAAACTTAATGTATCTTTATATTTTATTTAAACACAATATAACTAAAATAATATTTCTTTATATAAAGTTCTAAATAATATTTTGTTTTTTGAAAAACTCTTTTAAATTTCAAAAGTACATTTCGCTAAAAGATTTAACTGTTACTGAATTTTAATAAAAAATATCATTTCTGTAACTTTGTAAACAGTGAAAACGCCATTAAAATAAAAACTTCAATGCTTTTACTTTTAAACACTTAAATTAATATTACAAAATATTATGCAACAAATAGACTTAATTTCATTTTCGCGCCTAAAAAAATGGATAACATACGAAGATTATTTTATCGTAAACTGCTTTCATTTCCATTAAAATAATATTACAAAAAAGTTATTATATTTACACATCACGTTTTTAGCGGAACCACAAACTTACTCTTCCATTCTAATGAATGTCTTACGTTATTCTATTTTAGTCTTTTCTGGAAGATGATAAGGTCCATAAAGTGCTGTGTGTTTTGTAGTTGAGTCACGTAGAACTTCAAAGGACCCATTATGTTTTTAAATGCGAGGACGTTAATTGTGTTCTTTTAATGAACCTGTCTGCCTCTGAATGGAAGCTCTTGTACTTGGAGGCTTTCTACTAAAATTGCTAGAGCATGCTTTCTATCGATAACTTTTTATCTCATTTCTTGGTATTCGTATTGTTTGTGTGAGAACCGTGGATTTATCTCGATGTTGCATCTGGTTAGGAACGCTTCTCAGAAATTAAAGCATAGCATTTTAATGATAAATATAACATACTATAGATGATGAATTGTTTGTTGTTCCATATAATACAAAGTTCTTAAAAGCAATGTTAGTTTATACTATAATTATTTTTATTGCTTAAATTTTTCTAATAATTGGTATAGTAGTAGTAGTAGTAATTGGTAATAGTCAATCCATCATAGATGATTCTGATGATTGTTTGCAATCAAATATGTATCATTGATCTACATAAAATTGTACAAAAGAAATAAACGCTTTTAAAGTCGGTATAAAATTAAATATTATATTAATATTAAAGTAAAAGTGTAAATAAAATAGTGAGTATATCAAAACAGTAATAATACTAACATGTTGGTTTGTATCTACAATCTGACATCAATATGCTTATCACAAGTTTGCATTATCGCACTGTATATGGAGCGTTTCCAATTTTTCGTTCACTAATCCTTGCACTTTACAGTATTAAAGTGGGTTATTAAATTAGAATCGCGAAATATTTCGTGTGTGGTATGACACAGCAAACTTATGGTAAGCATACTAACATGACGTTTTCTCAACCGCTAATAAGGCGTTAATAAGTTGAAATGTTGCATGGACTGGATAAAAGGTGTCTAATGATACTTCTTTTACCTTATTTAGAATGTATTTTGCACATTGAAGTCTGAATAGGAATGTAAGTTACCTAAAACATTACAAAAGGGCAACATTTGCTGAAATTTTTTTTTTTGAAAAATGCGCTGTCTTTTTAAATATAATTAAAGAAAATTAACAATTAATCCATTTCTTTACGAGAAGTCTCTAAGGAAATTAAAAACATTAAGCCATATTTTCTAAAGGGACTTTAAATTGTGTTTTAATGGCAGTGTCGGTCAGCTTGTCGTTCAGAGACACAAAAGCCAGGAACGTGTCCTGATGGAGACGATCCTCGCTGGATGGCCGCTTGCCTCGAAGCATGTAATCATGATTCTCAATGTGACGGCACCCAAAGATGCTGCAAGCATGGATGCAGTTCAACATGCAGTGAACCCATCGATTTATTGACGATACCGAGTAAGATAAAACATATTTCTTATTAGAATATCATTTCATCCCTATGGTGATATTCTGCACCGAAATTCATCTGTTTAATTATTTACAAAGGATTGAACTTTTACAACCAGTTCTATAATAACTTTATAACAGCTTGCTTTTCATTAACAATTAAACAAAATTGGTAACAATTTGATATAAACTAAGGTTTAATTTTTTTATAGAATTATTTAAAACAATAATAAGGAAACCAAATTTCGTGGATTCTTGTTTAGCCAAAAAAAAAAGTTATTTTCGAATATAATTGTAGGTTCAGAGTTTATTTTTAACTTAATCATAATGCTCCAAATATTCCAACATATATTTTCTCTTCAGGCCTTCCAGCGATGCCGTCAATAGAAGAACCAAAAGAAAGACGTCGGGCAGTTCAGATTAAATGGACAGATGGTGTTGGTGATGAAGCGAGATCAGTTCCAGGTAGAGTTCTTTACCTATTGGAAGAACAACATCACCTTGGCCCCAACTACGATGAATCACGACTTGGAGAGTGGAATCTCCTGATGAGAACCAATAAGTGAGTAATAGTACTAGGGAGTCTTGAAACATTTGAAAATAAGTATGTTTTATTTAAGAAATAATCTTTATATCACATTTTTTTATTTAACGTTAAAATTGCTTTACAACAGGATTTTTGACTTTGAATTTCTAATTATAATTGAGCTAAATATGGAATATGTTGTAAATAAATATAAATTAAAATTAAACAAATAGAATTTAAATTATGCGCTTAACATAATATTTAAAAATGTTGGCGATATAAGTCTAAATTTATCTTGTACATAATAACTTGACATATGTCAAGAGTATTAAAAATCCTGTATACCTTTATTGAAGCTTATTTAGATCTAACATTTAACCGCCTTGAAAAAAAGGTATAATTTATATGTAACACAAGTTAGGCAATTTCCGGATAGTTTGGTATGCGTATAATTTTTTATCTATATAGACTTATGGGAGAATCAAATTCAGATAAAAATTTTACAGTATAAAAGAGACGTGATTAAATTCAGTATTCAAATTTATCTTTTGTCTCTTACAAAAAATACGATTTCGTAATTTTTTTATCAAAAACTTTTATAGCTTGTAGAGTAAATCTTTGATTACTTTCATGTGAATGTTTTTAAACTTGGAAATTTATTCAAAATGTAATAATTCTCGTATTAATTCATTTACATTATCATTCGTGATCCGATTTGTTTACAAAAAATACATAATACCTTTCGCACAATTCTCTTGAATATTTTGTGGAATACTTAGCTTTTCTTTGCAAAAGTTTTTGACTTTTTGTAACCACCGATACACCGATAACAGTTGTAAGAATTGTTTTTTATAACTAATATTAAAAGGTCAGATACGGCTAGAGAAGAAATATCACTAAATAAATCCATAACAGAAACAAGCTATATAAGTTCCGGCATAGACACTTCAATCGGTGCTCGAACCCGGATATCAATATTCGAAATGGTACGCGTTATTAAGTTTTTCATTCCCTTTGTTTATAAGATTGTGATCGATTAATAACATTTATCCATGACTTTCATTAACACTGAGATTATAAAATATCAAAACATGCTGCTTCAACTTCATTCTTAGACACAAGTTAACATATTGGATTATGATATATTTTAAAACCTATGCGGGGGTGGCTTTAGCAATTTAAAATAAGTAATTAAAAATATATATATTAACTTACTAAAATATTTCATGTATGGATATATAAATCTCCAACTTATCTGTTATGATAAAAATATGACTGTTTTTATCATCTTTTCCAATAACTTAAGAGAAATGAAATTCACTTTTAAATTTGTATAACAATCAAGAGCGCTTTCTAAAATATTTTCCGCGTTGCGTGCAATTGCAATGATGATGCATGTCGTAACACGTATTATGCCAATACTCAATTCTTTTCCTCTTCCTCATCGATTAATGAGTTCCAATTGGATATATTTTCGCTAAATGAACTTATTTTTTATTATTCAGTTCTTACATAGCCCCATATGTTTTTTATTTACATCTTAAAAGTAGTTTATAGAACTGCATCTTAACATTAAGATTGTTTTTTGTCTAACATTAACACATGTGTGCCGAAAATATAAATAAATAAAAATTTCCTATGAATTAACATATCGATCTCAAAGCTTTTATTAATTATTATATTTTAGAATTGATAAAGCCGCTTAAGTACGACTGAGATGTATTAGTCATACTGCAAAGATTAATCTTTTCACTTTGAGATTAGCTCGGAGTGTTTAATTTCTATTACTGACGTCAACGACTTTGTCCTTTTATTTTTTGATACACAGTAATTAATCATGGTATTAAATACTTTAATATCTTAATAAAGGAAACTTTCTCCCATTACTAGACACGATCTTCATATAACATTTATTCATAGCTGAATTAGTTTATTATTCTGTTTAATCCTAGGACCAAAGTGTCTCTACGTAACCAGTTGAAACCAGGTCGTTGGTATCGTTTCCGTGTAGCTGCAGTGAGTGCGTCTGGTACAAGAGGATTCTCTGAACCTAGCGCTCCCTTCACCCCTCGTAAAGGACCACGCCCTCCACCTCCGCCAAAGAAGCTAAAAGTGGAACATGTCAGAACAGACAATGGTAGATATTAAACACTAATATAAAGATAAATGCTTCGAATCTTACCCTATAAATATTTGCTTTTAAAATTACTTGACAGTTTTCTGTTTATTTGCCAAGCTTACTGCTCACCGTTCGTTGCTGACTGGATTAAATTTACAAAAGATTAATATATTCAGGTACTGTAACAATACGACTGGAATGGAAAGAGCCAAAATCTGATTTACCAGTGATGAGATATAAAGTTTTCTGGAGCAGACGACTTCGAGGTCTCTCAGGGGAGTTGGATTCTGTTGTCGTTAATCATCAAACTGTGCCAAAGGTACGTCAATATTATATTAAGTCTCTAGAGAAGTTACGTAAGGATGACAAATGTATTTTTACTCGCCATAAGATTATTATTTAATTGTAACTATATGTACAACATTTTGTCACGTACTTTAAGTAATGTATATTAAAAATTAACAGGATCAAACTTTCGTTGAAATAAGTAAACTACATCCGAATTCAATGTATTTCCTCCAAGTACAAACAATAAGTGCATTTGGTGGTGGAAAACTACGAAGTGAAAAGGCTGAAATTTTTTATAACACAACGAGTTCTGGTAAGCATCAGAAAGATATTTTGTAGTGAGATTATACTTTTTAATACAGAAACACTTACTTTTACAAATGATTCATAATTAATTGGTTTTTCTTACAAAATTTTATACGCTTAGCGTGATATTACTTGTAGTCACGCTAGCCATTGAATACTTATGTAACAGTATTGTTCTGAACAACAAGAGTTTTTATAATTTTAGAACACCCACCTCAAGCTTTAAAAAGACGAATAGACAACTCCGTAACAGGACTCAGATTAAACAAACTTATATGGCTGAACCATAAAATTAAAGCTAAATTGTCATGGGAATTACCTCCAGGCGCAAAGGGACAATCTCGAAGGTTTGCTTAAAATTCCATTGTATTTAATTATTTATTAATTGAATACTAATTACATAAACTAATGAATACCCAGTCTGAAGGCTTATAGTAATTGCTACTAACTACTAAGTCCTATATGCTACATGATTCCAGTTTCTTATTCTTCTGTAATAGCTAGTTGGTTAGAGTAAAAGTGACAAACAATTAACAAAATAAATCACTTATAATATTTCAGATATTTTGTGCACTGGACAACTCTGTCCTGCCAACATCCAGCAACAGAATTGAAGGAATTTTCAGCTGTAACTGAGGTAAAGCCATCATAAGTTGTTGTTAAATATACGAGAAATATGTAATAAAAGTCATAATAATAGTTAGGAGCTATTTATAAGAAACTCTTTGTATATCCTTCTTATTTTTAGGTACTTGAAATATTAATTCAAATGTTCTTCTTACAGCAAACCAGCTTTGAAATATATGAGTTGGATTACAAGTGCAAATACAAAGTAAACGTGAACAGAACTCCGAACAACGATACTCCAGACTCCGAATACATTTTATCAGTTCCTGGATGCGACTATTTTAAACGGAAATTTAATAGCTCCATCGTCAAATGTAAAGCATAGGACATAATAGCTTTAATTGTAAATTTATTTAATTAGTTTTTAATATATATAGACTGCCTGATTAATATATAGATATCTAAAATTCAAACTTAGAATTTCGAAATTTTTCTTTGAAGATATTTTTTTGCTTATAAAGTGCGAAGTTGGGATAGTGGCAACAAAAAATAATGTGTATTATACTCTCTTAAAAAACATATCAGCCGAGTATTCTGCAAACCATGTCAGTAGTTCACCATTCAATTATAAAGTCGGTCAGATACTTTTATTGTACTGCGAAACAAAATTTAATTTGAACATGAACCTCGATCTATCTACAGTATCTTTCATTTTATCTTTTATCACGATAACTGAGTGGTTCACTAAAGAAAAATTGCGAAATATCTATCTATTACAGTTTGACTTTTTTTTACGACTACATCAAAAGATGTAAACTAATATACTTGTATTATATTACAAACCACAGCACAAATAAAAAATATATTTAATTTTAAACTATTGTTTTTCTATCTATCGTAATCACAGATTGTCATCGAGTAAGTATTAAAAATGTATTATGTTAACATTATTGATCCATACCCTAATAGCCTTCGAACTAATTTGTTTTGCTAGAACTAGCTTTCATTATGTCAAATATAGAACGTTATAAAATTTTACTTCATTAGTATTCTAGAAGCGCCCCAGTTATGTGAGACTGACTTTAATTTTCTACGTTATAAATATTTACCTACCAACTAGGGGCGAAATGCGCATGTGCAGGCATTTAAAAATTTAGGATCTAGGGGTACGTTTCCATTAGACATATTTACATGAAGACTTTTTAGTCAACACGTAATTCTTAAAAAAAATATATAAAATATAGTCAACTGAGATGAACACAAAACGTTCTTATGGTCAATTTGTTTTTTTTTTTAATATAAAAATGACATATTTACTAATTTCTATTTTTTTTAATAGGTAGTATTTGATATGTTACATATTTAGGTAGAAGTTGCAAAAACTTTTATCAATTATTGTATCGTACAAGTAGTCCACTTACAACAAATCTATCAACATTCCGATAATTTTCTGTTTTAAGTTAATTTATTTTAATAACTATTTCAGCTATTAATAATTGTTATTTATAAAAAGACAGGAATTAAAACTTATTGTGAAGTTGATAATAAAATCATTAAAAATGATTTAGTGCCGGATATATCAAATAATTTATTAACCTTAAGATTACAAACTTTTTTTCTTAAAGGTATTATATCCACAATAATAGTAATTATCATAACATTAAATATAATTCCAGTAGTCATTTATAATTAACTTTGATACTTCTAATAAAAAAAATCTAACATAATTCTAATTGGAATAAATAATACATATACTTAATATTTTTAAATAGAAGCACGACAAAAAACAGAAAAAAATCCAATAACAATTGAGATTAAATCAATTTTTCAGAGCACAAAGCTAGTGGAAATTTAACATATTCTAAAATACAACCATTGCAAGAATAAAGTATTACGAGTCAAGGAATATGATATAAAAGAAAAAAACATTTTTTATACATAATTTTAGATCATTGTATGGCAACATTTTAGTACTGCCAACTTCATTCCATAGATTTTTATACAGCAACCCCTGGTAAATGTCAAAAGTAAACAGAAAATACGAGATGGGGAATTATTTTAAGATATTTTAAATTTTAATCAAACCTTAATTGATGTGCACGTGATTTTAATAATCTTTTACATATTTCTTGAATGTTGGTGTTTTTATTGTGATAAACCATATTTACGAGTTTTGGAAATATGATTCTATGATCGCAGTTTTTCACCTTTTACTATGCACAATTTACGTCTATCTACGATTTATTATATTTAGTTAGTAGTGAAAGCACCAAATTAGTAGATGACATTAAATTTATTATTGATAATATTATAGAATATTAGAAAAAAAATAAATTTTGCTCCTGGGCGTAACCTTCTAAGTTCGTTGCTAGCAAGTTTACCGGGATATTATAATGATATCCTACGCCTGTTTTTGAATTATTGTGCTGTGAATTTCAAGTGAAAATGGCTGAAGACGAAGTACTCTTCGACGACGTATATGAACTTTGCGAAATTATTGGCAAGTAAGTAAAAAAATACCTGTGTTGGTTTCCCCTATTCTATTCAAGAAAATCTGCAGTGTTTGGATATTAATAATTTATTTTATTTATATTAAATATAAGAATATAACATTGTTTATTTAAATATGAACTTTCTATGGAATATCTATGTATTTCCTAAAATTCCAATTAACATAAATAAATATTTGTTTTAAATTTATTGGAAAGTATTCTTTCAAATTAATTACAAATTTCTGTAATAGCCTCTAATCCAAGCTATTAGACACCTTGTCAATATATATTTTTTTGTTAAAATATAAGCTTAGCAAATTTTTTACTAACTAATAGAAAATCTTAGAACTCCTTAAATAAAAAAAAAAACTTTTAAGATAAAAATTAATCAAACAAGTATATTTTTTATAATAAAATGATATGACAGTAATAATAATAATAATAAACAAAAATTTAGAGTATTAAATAAAACCAATTAAAAAACCATTATATGAGAGTTAACCCTTATAATATTCTCCAAGGCATACCTTGTAATGCTCATAATACTTACACTTCCTTGCATTGTAATATAAGAAAGTTTTTTATGTAAATAATTATAAATAATAAATATTTAAAAGCAATCTGGTTATCAACATAATAATATGCATAGCAATGGATATCGCAAACTAATTTTTCATTAACTATAATTATTTTTATCTTCAAGGACGAACTTCTTGAAAGTAGGTCACTCTATGAACTATAACAATATTTATGTGATAAATAAAGTTCTTTAATACATTAATTTTATATTATACTTGAATATATTAAGTTAATTCAAACATATTTTGATGATTTGTTAAAGATGTTCCCGAGAATATTATTGCTTAATAAATAGTTAAGAAAAGAATTTAATTCATATGTAACAAATTTATATCAATAACCTCATTCAATTTACTTTCATTTTGTTCTCAAAAATATCTAAGAATATTTCTAAAATATATATAAATAGTTACAATGTTAATACTATTTTGAAAAAATTGTTATTGTTTTTATAACATCACAGTTCTAAAGTAATTACGTTGGATACTGAATCGATTCCTTAATTAGCTACAAAAATATTAAGGATATTGATGCATTTTTGTATATGTTATAGTTGTAAAATCTTGGTATATTGAATTATCTATATATAATATATTTCTTAGGGGTCCATTCAGTCTAGTAAGGCGTTGTGTACATCGTCAGACCGGTCAACAGTTTGCAGTGAAAATTGTTGATGTTGCTCGCTTCACAGCCAGTCCGGGACTTAGTACAGCAGGTAAAATTAAATTTGTCTTTAAAATGAGTTAAAAGATCATAAAAGGCTGATATTCTTTTCTTTTAATGTAATTATGTTTGACTTTAAATTTAATGTTGCCAGGTTATTTTCAATTTGGTTGTAAAATGATTTTTTAAATGGCAATATACTTAAATTAAATAGATAATGTCAGAGTTGCATATTTTAATTTCAGATTTAAAAAGAGAAGCAACAATATGTCATATGTTGAAACATCCCCATATTGTAGAACTTCTGGAAACATACAGCTCCGAGGGGATGCTTTATATGGTTTTTGAATAGTGAGTACAAATATGTAATAGTTATTATAATAATATATTTTTTTAGAACTTCTGTTATCTGATTTCATTGTTCTATTATCACGGTATAGTGTCAAAGTAACACAATGTGACATTTTCATAATGTATTGTTCCCTATAGACAATAGAACTAGCTTGAATATAATATTTCAGTGTTATTTTGTATTTGTATAGTGCTAATAGGTATTTGTTATTTTTATACGGTTCATATTTTAATTGAAAAAGCCCCTGGATAGGTGAAAATATTTATTATTAAAAATTGAGAGTTGAGTATAAAATATTTGCCTTTAATAAGTGTCGGAAAAGGCGCGCGTGCCATCAAATGGTAATTTAGTCGGGTGTCGTTGATACAGGCAACACTGTTCGAGACGCGAAAATTTGTTTCATTTTTGTTGATCTATTTTTCATTGTAATCGTAGGAAGTATTATATAGGTAATTACAACAATTCAAAACATCCATTTTCTATAAGAATAATAACATGCTCATAAACCTTAAAAATAATAAAGAAATAAAAATACCCGTAATAAACTAGTGGCATGATAAATATGTTGTTATTGGCTGTGTCGGGTTGGAGTTATTCCCTTATTAATTTAACGAAATATTTTTTTTATGTAATTGCCAATAGACTTATCTATGGTCTATGTGTTATCAAATGTGGAGATTTCTACATAGTTTGGATTCGATTTTAATATTAATTCGTAAATCAAGTATGACATTTAAACGATTTTTGAAAAATAGATCCGTAATACTTATACAAGAACCATGAAGTTCTAAACAAAAACATTTTATTTAAATAAATATTAAATAAAGAAACATTATGCAATAAGAAAATATATAAGATGTATCAAACATAAATCTTTTCCTGATTCTGAATTGTATTAAGTAATTAAAACATTCCCGTAACGTATTTCTTGGAAATAACAAACTGGTATAAGAAAAACATAATATTTAAAATAACAGCAATAATGCGGCTTGAAGATTATTTATTGTTACTATAATAATTGTCTTATTGCCTTCTTTTTATGTAAATATATTTATTATTGTTGCTAATTAACTATTTTTAATTTCTATTAATTCTGTATTGATTTGTTTACTTAATCTATTGTTCCGAACTAATATTTGTTTCGTTTTTCTAGTATGGATGGATCGGATTTGTGCTTTGAGGTCGTTCGTCGTGCTACTGCTGGCTTTGTCTACAGTGAAGCAGTGGCGTGGTATGTTTTTAAAAGCATATATGGATGAAATGTACAATTTCTCTTTTCATTTGTACGTGTTTCTAGTTTTATAACATCTGTATGGTAAAAAAATATTTTTTTAATTACTCAGGTACATCTATTTCAATTCGATGTCAATGTTTTATTTGACGAAACCTACGAAAAGTTAATAAATTAACAAAAAAGTACGAGAATGTAAACAAAAATGTCAATTTCATCTCACATTGAAATCATTCACATTAGAATTATATGCACCCATAGAAGACTGATATATTGGTAACAAACTATTTTGTGATTGATTCTACAAGAATATTCATAATGTTAAAAATAATGTCAAAACATGAGATAATGTTTATATCTTAGATAAAGGTAAACATATATTACTATAGGAATTATAATTTTCCAGCCATTACATGCGTCAAATCTTAGAAGCTCTTCGTTACTGCCACGAGAACGATATAGTACATCGCGATGTTCGACCTCATTGCGTGTTGTTAGCTGGTCGTGATAACTGCGCTCCAGTCAAGCTTGGTGGATTCGGTGTTGCGGCACAATTGCCTACTCCAACCGCACATAGAGCTCCGCCAGGTAAGGACAATATTTGCTTTAAGGGCTTAATTAGTATTGGTTACTTAGTCTAGAATTGGTATGATCATGTGATATTTAGTTGAGAATATTGTTTTGATGATTCTGTCCTTATATTATCTAGTTATCGAAGACGTTGCTCGTAAATAAACAGATTTTCTGGTACCATGCTATCGAATTTGTTGATACTGATTGGTATTTTTATTTATTTGAATGCATAATTTCGCATGCTCGACTATTAAAGTGGCCTGTATTCAATATATATTGAATCAATTTTATGAAGTTGACAGTCAATTAATTGTGTACAGAACTGGTGATGGACAATCGACCTCTAGTGGGTCCTATGGGCCAAGCGTATCTGAAATCTGATGAGTATGGTAAGACTCAATGAAGCAAATTGTGCCCTAATCGCATGTGAATAATGTGCAATATTCATTGGCACAATTCTCACCCATCGTCACATACTAGGTGTCTCATAAAACAGACATTACTAGTGCTCACGTTATATGAAATATACATCGGCACAATTCACATTAACACTGTGTTCGTGAATATGTTTTGTTTTAACTGTGTTTCTATAACATAAAAATACATGGACCTAAATCGCACTTATAGTTTCCAAGGTAAAATTTAGTTTTGGCAATCAGTTGCTAAATTTAATATTCATGGCTGTAGTAGAATAGAAGTTTGGTGCGAATTAGTTCTAAAAAATATATCTGTAAAACATTGGGCTTATAACATTATAAATATGTAAAATATATATAATAAATTGTTATTAAATAAAGAAATGGAAATCTGTTAAACTAAATGCTAGACATCTGTTTAATTGTGATCGTCAATCATTATCATATTTTAATCAATCAAGGTCTTCAATTAATATCTTGACCACTGTATAAATATACACTGCAACTTTATATATTATATATACAGTATGTACCAATTTCTTACTCTTAATTAAATGAACTTGAAAAATAAATAATCATTCTATGGACCTTGATTGGTTATAAACTGTTAATTCCCGAAATTAACAAAGTAAGGACAACCCTTTAATTATTTGTTTAAATAAACTGAACACCCTTTATAGGTCGTATCGGAACCCCCCACTATATGGCACCAGAGGTGGTATCAAGTCAGTTGTATGGGAAGCCGGTTGATGTATGGGCTGCTGGCATTCTCTTGCACGTACTCCTGGTTGGATATCTACCCTTCACTGGCACGAGGGAAAGACTCTTTGAGGCTATATGCCGTGGAAGATTGCGGGTAAAATTATTTAACATATGAATTACCTACATACGTCCCTTATCGGGCGTTGTCTGTTATTACGTATTATTTAATTACAATTATTTACGATTATGTGCCAAATAGTGACAAAAAAAAAATATTTCTATTTTATGAAATTTTTGCTGTTCTGTTTTATAACTTTCAACCGAACTTGTAAGATGATAGTTTTACTCCGCTTGCATTCTTAGTTTTTATCAATGCTAATACAAATGTATTGAATTTTAGTTCGATGCTCCGCTATGGGAAGACATAAGCGACGCTGCCAAAGACCTGGTCCAAAGAATGCTGACGGTTGACCACACTCAGAGAATTAACATACAGGAAGTTCTGAATCATCGATGGATCAGAGTAAGTCGAATTATAATATTAGTTTTGCTCTTGACTTGTGTTTCGTGATATTTGGAGTGACAAACTTCGTTATACCTTATAATCCGCTAATTGATATTTATATATTTATTAAAACAAATACTTTCTTGGGTTAATGTGTCAGTGGAAATGCACCCACATTGTTCACGTGGCTTATAAAAACAAAGGTTACAAACCAATAAGAATCCTAACTTAAATTTTTTTGCTTCTATTCTTAAATGTAAAATAAAGATTTTGGACTGGTTTTCAGCGTAGGGACCTGGATCTTAATAAATTATTATTTCGGTACATACTTAAATATTTATAAGTTTTAATTTTCAGTTATAATTTATACTAATTAGTCATAATTTTTACCAGGATCGCGACAAGCAGAACCGCATCCACTTATCAGGGACAGTCGACGAACTTAAGAAGTTCAATAGTCGTCGACGTCTTCGTGCGGCGACACTGGCGGGGGCCTCCGTTGATGATGAGGAGGAGGAGGAACAGCCGGGGAGGAAGCAGGTCATGCTGGAGGAGGCTAACGCTGCTGGTGAGATGAAATGAACCTTAGTTATATAGCAATAAGACTCTATATCTATTGTATGTATTATATCTATATGTATTGTATACAGTGCTATATTGGCAGTATGCCAGGGTGGGTCATTTGAAATGAGTCTTATTTGTATATTTATAAAGTTCTATATTCATTGTACAAAGAAGAGTTTTAGAAATGACAGTGAAGAAGGCTAACGGTGCTGGTGAGATGAAATGAACCTTAGCTATATTGCAATAAGACTCTATATCTATTGTATTATCTCTATATGTATTGTATATAGTGCTATGTTGGCAGTATGCCAGGATGGGTCATTTGAATTGAGTCTTAGTTGTATAGTAATAAAGTTCTATATTCATTGTACGAAGAAGAGTTTTTGAAATGATAGTGCAGTAGGCTCACGTTGCTGGTGAGATGAAATAAACCTTCGTAATATAGCAATAAGGCTGTGTTCGCAGTGTGCCTAGAAATCCAGTTGAAATGACTCTTATTTGTATAGAAGTAAAAGTATAACGTTTTTGTTTGAAATTGTTCTAAAAATTACATATTGTAAAGATAGATGAGATGAAGAGTGCTATACGTTTATAGATAAGTTTAAAACTATTATAAGAAAAATATCTGTTTTGTTAGAATTATATCCGATTGAAAATTTGCACATTTTTGAAGTCATATAAAAAATAGCCTTATTGCTCTTTATGACATAATTTATTACCATAATTTATTTTATAATTTATTATTACTGGTGATTACCTACTGTCAGATTCGGTCCAGCAAAACAACCATTTTTAAAATTGTAGATATCGTTTAACGATACTTACTATATAATATACTTCCATTTAAGTTCGGTGCAAAGATTTTAATAAAATAATAAAAATGGATACAATTTTTACTTAGTAGAGATTTGTTACAGTCAATGGCCTTTAAACTTATTTATGAATAAAAATATTTAAAGCGTGCTTTTTAGGAAGTTTTCCAGACTTTTATATATTGTCTGCTATAAAAAAATACCTAACTTAGTGGTAGATGATATAAACATTTTATTTAATTGAAACGAGTGCTCCATGTGGTCTTTCTTCTATATATTTAAAAAATGACAGAAATGAGTGTTAGTTACGCTTTTTATAATACAAGAATTCCTAAACGAGAAAAAAAAACTTCATAAAATCTAAAATCTAATTTTACGCCCTAGATATGAGTTTGCGTGGTCATCGATTTCTTATTTTAAATTTGACACGAACGAACTCGCGGAAAAAAGCTAGTATTATATATTAATGATATTATTAATATTGTTTCAGCTATAAATCTCATCGTGGAGTCTCTTGATGACGTGGCAGTGTTACAAGATGGCCCCGCTTATATGGATCCTGACTTATTCCACAGTGTACTTGATGATTTGCAATTGCGTTCATTGTTGGAAGTTAGTATAGATATTTTTCACTATATTACTTAGTTGACCATGTAGTAATATGAGATTATTAGGGGTTTATAAAATAAATTGATTTAACTCATTTAGTTTCACCAGTTGAAACCAAAACATAACGAACTTTATCTCGCATAAATGAATTGATTAATGTGTGGTATGTGGTATGGTTTTAGAAAACTACTATGATATTTTTAATTAAATAAGTAACTATAGTATTAAATTACATTATAATTAAAATTATACCAGTACTTGGTTGTTCTGCTGAGCGTTATTCGTATAAGAAAGCAGAGGCTTTGATGTTACGTTTATTTCGACATGCGATAGATGGATGAAAATAACGAGGTGATGGAATAAGTTTTTCATTTTAAATTAAAATGAACTTAACTTTAGCTCTTTTTATAATTTAGTGGAAAATTACTGTCTACATTTTAGCCAAGATCGTTGTAGTCAGAAGTATAAATTGTATTAATAAAAAAGAATTTATTCAAACAATAAGACATTAAATACAAGTGCATTCCAAGCTACACCTAATTCTTCAATGAGAATTATAAAACACATTTCCAAACATAGAAATACCCGCTTAATATTTTAATTCATTTAAAGTGAAACAAGAAAAAATTAAGACTAATAATTGATTAAATACTGAAATCTAAATATGGACTCCTCTCGCAACGAACGTCATTTAACTGGTGCTGCACAGTTAAATATCGCTTTATATAACTAACCACCTTTCTCTAACCACCCTCCTATATATATTCTTCTACTATTACTCGTAATATCACATCTCTAACAAGATTTCATTATCAGGTTTACGACCGTATAGCGTGCACGGTGGTGGTGACGAGCGGTCGAGCGCCAGCTGCTGAAGGTCGTTCAAGGTCGAAGGCTGCCATCGAGGCGGCGACCAGGCTGAGATCCGGGAGCACCGCCGGCGCCGCGCCCGCCACCGCCGCCGCCATACACGACCTGAGGAGACTGATGACGTCACCACATGTCAAGGTCAGTCATATATAGTAGCATATACAGTGGACCACAAGTAATCCGGCATGATCTATTACTTATTATTGAATACATATTTTGTATTCGCTAATGCATGTTACAAGTTACAACTTGTACGCACTATTACTATTGTTCTCGACGCGTACGGTACTTCAGAGTACATATAAGTATAGTATACTAGTTTTTGCCCGCGACTTCGTCCGCGTTAATATCATCATTTAATATATGTATAGCTGACCGGGCGAACTCTATTCCGTCCTAGAGGCCATAAATAATCAGGTTTTTCCTGTTTCAATCGAACAGAATGATTGACATATTAGTTAGTTGTCAAATCTAATGTCAAAGAAAACATTTGTATGGGAAATAGAAAAGGGCTGTTTTTAGTGTTTTTTCGAAAATGAATCAATTTTTCTCACCTTTTAAACCTTCCCTGAACCTCCACGAATATTTCAAGACTAAGATAAGATAAATCCGTTCAGCCGTTCTCAAGTTTTAGCGAGACTAAGGAACAGCAATCCATTTTTATATATATAGAAGATAATACTAGAAGACCCGGCGAACTTCGTATCCCCCTATAATCAAGAAATATCTATTACGTTTTTTTATTTATATTTTTGGACTTTACTTATTAAAGCCATAAATCTCCGTATTTTGAAGTGCGACAGAATGATTAACATATTAGCTAGTTGTGAGATCTAATGTCAAAAAAAAAACTACTAATAAATTAAAAATTAATTAAAAAAACATTGTCCAGCGGACAAAATTGTGAATCTAAACAATTCCCAGATCCCCTAGATAACACACAAAAAATTTCATCAACATCGGTCTAGTCGTTTGAGAGAAGTTCAGTGACATACACACTCACAGATGAATTATATATATAAAGATGTAAATAATCTTATCATTGAATCTGTAATTTGTCGGATTACAAGGTACTCTTTTGTAAAAAAAATACGGATTATAGGGGGTCTTAGGCAGTACTCTATAATCCGACGAATTCGATAGTTCGACACTGCCCTGCAAAATGTTTGTAAGACTATGGACCATGGGTCCACTGTATATATAAAAGTATATGAAAATACCTACCTACTGGATAAATACCTACCTACTGGATAAATGGTGATTTGATATTTGATAGCTTTATCAAGTTATACTTAAATGCTGTTTTAATTGAGAGTTAGATTTTCTTCCAAGCATAGTCTTGTTGTATTATGTAATATGATCTTTGGTTATTTGTCATGTATTACTTACACTCGTAAATAGAGATGGTTTAACTTCTAATAGTGAATTTTAAGTGCTAATCTGTAGCACCCTACATTCTTAGGTATGTCTTGCATTAGTCGTATGGCTAAATGAATACGTCAAGATTAGATGTAGTATGTACTTGTTATTATTTCTATGGGGTTTTATAGTGAGAATTCGATTTTCCAGTGCGAAATGAAATATATTTCTTTATGTAAAAACGGAAAAATAATCTTGAGTACTGGGTGTTGAACACACAAAGCAGTATCTGGAATGGAATAAAGTCATAAATAATGCTTACCTATTGTTATTATTATTTTAATTTAGACTGATTATGAAATCTCTGTAAATGATATTGAAGGTTTGCCATTTATCTCTACAAGTGACGGACAACTGTCCAATGACTGACAATTAATTTTATTTAGGAATTTATCTGGACCGCATTAAGTTCGAAAATGTTTATCTGTTTGAATTCATGATACGAGTTGCGGTCCCTGAGTTGTGGGCTTTGATTTATAAGCTTTGGTTTTAATTTGTTTTTAAAGTCAATACGCGAATAGAATATTCATACATTTTTGGATTTCATTTTTCAAAAACTCATCAAGCAAAACATTTACTGGCATAGTGTTACTTTACAACGCCATCTATTGTCGTGTAGCGTTAATTTTGAGACCAACTTTGTGTCACAGTGTATTTGTTCTTTATTTTCACTGTCTGAAAAAGAAAAACACAACCATTTCTGACAATGAAACATAGCTAAAGCGATTTTTCGTCCTCGAAACTTTTGACATTCTAATTGCATCGAAAGCGTTGAAGTTATTTCCTATATCCTAATATATATATGTACATATACACAAGAATTTCTCGTTTAAAGGTGTTAGATGCAAGATTTTTTTTCATCTTTGTTTCATTTCTCTGGTAGCTTCTTTATTTGATATTGAATAATTTTTAGGATCTTATTTTTCTTCGTTGAAAAAAAAATCACACCCAAGTGTTACCGACCATCATTAGCATTAAGATTGTTACTATTTAAAATGTGTTTTAGGTTTGGATGTTAATCATAGTTCGATGATCCCAAACAGGGCTTATTTGTGGCGTAAAAATTTTCAACCAAGTTCCAATAGTTTCGTACGTTTTACTAAGTTGTATCAAGCAATATATATTTTTCCCGGATGAATCAAAACATTTTGCTATTCGACTACTTCTTTCTTGCTTATTTGACTGCTGTCTCTCATTTCATAATATTATGTTGGCGTTAAAACCTGACTTCATTGTTTGATAAAGAATCAGCTAATAAAGTGAGTGTATGGTATGTTTTTTGATGGTTCATCATACTTGGATCACAATTTTCACTGATGTTATAGTTAACAAATCACATTGCATTGTACATACATAAGAACCTTAAGGCATTGTGTTATCATGAAAAGAGTTCAATAAAATTCAGAATTTTGATACTTTCTTTTTGTGATCTTTTTAAAATTACCCCAGACATATAGACAGAGCGATACACAAAAATAAATCAAGTTTTTAAATACATGGTACATAGCCGGTATATTGCATGTTTATAATAGGAATACCAAAAATACATCTTTTGTACATAGAAACATATCGGCCTTTGTTATACATACATATAAATATCAAAATATTCAGTGAGTTGGGTAATAGTCAAGCAAGCTTAATTGTTTCATTATAATAAAATGTATCAAGTATCAGATTGAGTTTAAAAATATTTAGATGGATATCTTGTGTACTAACTTTGCATTAGGTACATACCATTGGCATTCTGATTGTTAAGTTGAATCAACCTTGAATATGTTCAATTAGATGCATAAGACCCTTGGAGAATATTTCGAAGCGTATCGTGGTTTTTAAAAACCATATATCTTTTTATGAATTATTCTCTACCACACTTCTATTTTATATTCTGACTATACGTATAAATGTTATCGGTTAAGTTTATTGCACAGGCTGAATATTTTATTAAAGAGAAACATACTTTTCTTTACATACTTTATATCCATAAACAATATCGAAAGCCACATATAACGTGGTCATCAAACAATAAATAAGAAAAAACGTTTACTACGTACTTATTTTGTACTAAATACGTAGAGTTTCCAATATGACATTCATAAATCTCCCCAAGTTATTTTATCAACGTATGCTTATGAAGGAAAGACGTTCAGTAAAGGGTTCTATGGTACAAACTTCAAGTAAGGGTGGTGTTGAAAGTAAAATTTATGATAACAGTTTATTATTTCGGTCTCAGCAATAAAATGTAAATATGAACGGCGATGACGATTGGTCTGTTAGGGTGAAGTTATGTGCCATTTGTATCGTTTAGTCGATGTCGTAAATCACTTCGTTCTGATATCTATTTAAATGGGAAATAAGTAAAATTCTGAATAAACTTTTTTAGTAAATGCTCACAATTGTGAAGGTGGGCCTTGATTATAGTTATTGTTTACTATATATACAGGGTGACTGGTGAATTACTATCGATACTTGAGGACGTGATATTTGACGATCATATATGACAAAATAAAAATTAATATAACATAAATATTAATAAACTTCTAAGTAAAGTTAACCAAAAGTTATGTAATTAATTACGCATCGTGTGAACACCCTACAGATTAGGTATACACACACACACACACATACGCGAGCGGGGCGTTTTGTTGTATCAGCACGCCGCCGCACGCGTCCACACTTGGAACACTTGGAACGTATCCACACTATTTATTTATACGGAAATTTGTTCAAAAATTAAGCACCTATTTTTTTTACATAATTCGAATGAGAATCATGTACCGAGTACTCTCCTTAAATGTTGATAGTAATTCACCAGTCACCCTGTATAATTAAGTCCAATAAGGCAATACGCATTTTTTTGGCCTAACATATTTTGTTGAATACTTATTATTGTCATATTAGAATATTTCAACCCCTAAAATAATACTGTTTTACAAGTTTTTGTGAAAAAATAAATAATTTAAACCTACAGGTTTGTATACAGATATATGTTTGAATACATTCTGTGCTTGTTGTTTCGACACATTTAATTTAATTTTCTTGAGGGTTATTAATATATGTTTACTAGGAAGCGGAATATTATAACTTGAAAGTTTTATTAAATGCTATGATTGTTTAGATACCCTAACAATAATTTTGGCTCATTTTCAGTAATACTTAGCATGCTGGTTTACATAACATTTTTAAACTTTTTTCATCCTCTGAATCATTTTACACTTGACTCGACTCAGATTGATAACTTGGTTCATAATCAGTAGAGGTCATAGAAGAATAAGATGGTATAGAAATAGTATCTACTGTGTTTTCAGTGAGCGATTTTCTTCATAAAACAGATGGTTTTACTGGTGAAGTTTCTACAATTTGTATTACAAGAGGAAATGGTGACAATACTACATTTTGTGTTTTAGTGTGTTTACATGGAAACCTTTACTTCTATAGTTCGGTTCTTGGTCACAATGCATTTCCCCCTCAATATGAGAAGTGAAAAGCTCTGCCTGAAGAAGAAGTACTGGGTCCTGGTTGAACACAGACATGTGTGTGGGAAGTACTTGTACTTATTTCGTGATCACTTCTTTGTAAGGTTCGCTAACAACACTACTTTTGATGGCTAACTCTGATGAAAAGGCTTCATTGACCAGTGTCAATTATTTTCTTTTAACTACAGCCATTCTCTCATTTGGTAATTGCATCCTCTAATTATTACATAAAATATATGAGGCAAA